TGAGCCAGCTTTCCCCGTGCATGGTCCCCGTGTGCCAGCCGGGAGGGGGACGGCGTTTTGGGGTGGCACGGCAGGGCTCAGCCCGCTCCGCGGTTCAGGGCAGCCCCGCGGGGGCTGGGCCTCCGGCTGTGTCGCTCCATCACCCGCTGGCCCCACAGAGGAGCTGGGGTTGCTTCTGTGAGATGGAAGGGCTTGTGGGGACAGGGCTGTCCCTGCAGCAGAGTGGCCCCCCCCGGGACTTGCAATGACAGTGCTTTCTGCTGGTGGAGAAAGGCCCTGGCAGGGCCGGGCGTGGGGGCTCCTGCACACACCCACACCCACACACACAGGGGCTCCTGCACACACACACACACCCCGCTTCCCCCTCCCCGTTTCCCTGCATGTGGCACGAAATGCTCCCGCTGCCGGGGCTGGGCGAGCAGGTCCCCAAGGGCTGTCAGCACCCGAGGGGACAGTCCCAGCGGCACAGCGTGCCATGTCCCCCAGCCCTTGGCACAAACCCGCTCTGCTGCCCCTGGGGCTGGATCAGGCCCTGCTGAAGGCCTCCAGTCCCGGTGTGAGGAAGGTGAGGATGGTGTGAGCCATGGCCCAGCCTGGGGGACGACGGGAAGCCCGGCCGCCCTGGCACCCAGCAGCAGGGACCTCCATGGCAGAGCTCTCCTCGGGGCAAATAGCGCCCATCAAAACAGGCAGGACAGGGTGGTTTGAACCTGCCGCTTTCTGCCAGCTCGGGGACCGCTGCCCTGTGCTTTGGTTTTCAGGGAAAACAGACAAGAACATCACAAATTCGTAAAAGCATCCCACACTTTGGGATAAAGCACAAGCCACTTCCTAGAGATGGGAGTGAGCAAAAATGGGACCCTGGCCCCTCACCCTTGCTGTTTCCATCACAGCTCCCGGTCAGGAACCCGGTGCCAGCAAGCATTTGGGCTCCTCAGACTCAGCTCTCGCATCCTCGTGCGTGGGTTATCACCCCGTGTCCCCCAGCACCCGTGGTCCTGCCCTGCAGCCCCTCTGGCCTCAGCACGTGTGCCAGCGGCTTGTGGGCTCACCCCGTCAGCTGGCTCGGAAATTAGCCTCCATCAACTTAATTGCCAAACTGCTCAAAGCCTGAAATTAAACATTAAAGCTGTCGCTCGCAGGCTCAGAGCAATCTGCCCCCCGCCCCAGCAAAAGGCAATTCTGGCTGTCCAAGCAGAGGGAAGATGGATTCCCTGGGTCGGGGCAGCACTGGCATCGGGATGGAGCAGCTGGTGACAGTCCCCGCGGGTGCTATGGGCCAAGTCCCCAGCATGGCCCAGGACTCTGCTGCTGCCGGGCTGGGCAAACCCCGAGCCGCAGATGGTCCCTTTCCTGGAGGTTTCCTTCCTCTGGTACCGAAGGGCTGAATGTGCCTGTGAGAACCTTCCTGGGACAAAGTTCGCTCAAATCCTGGCTCTCCTTGGCTCTGCAGGGTGGGAGCCTCCGAGGGGGACCCTGGGGTCTCGCAGTGCTGAGGCTGCTGCTGGGGATATCGCCCAGCCCTGGGGGATGCTCCTGCTCCCCGAGAACAGGCATAACCCTTTTTCCTGGTCTCCTGGTTGGAAAAATATTGCCTGAAGCAACAGCGGGGTCTGCCAGGGCGTTTCCAGGATCTGACCAGCTTCTCCTTGGCCTTGCAGTGACAGGCTGTCCCGGAGGGGAAATGCATCCTGAATGGGGCTGAGGCCCCCTGCGCGGGAATATGCATCCTCGGCACTGCGGGGGCAGCACCAGGGCAGTGGCCGGCGCGCGGCGGCATGGTGGCAACGTTCAAGATCGCCGTGCTGGGAGCCCAGGGCGTGGGCAAGAGTGCCATAGTCCGGCAGTTCCTCTACAACGAGTTCAGCGAGGTCTGCGTGCCCACCACGGCCCGCCGTGTCTACCTGCCCGCCGTCGTCATGAACGGCCACGTCCACGACCTGCAGATCATGGACTTCCCCCCCATCACTGCCTTCCCCGTCAACACCCTGCAGGTAGGGGCATCCCTGGCTCGATGCGATGGGACCTCCACGTTGGGGGGCCTCCAGTGACCTCAGTGGGGTTTTGCTGTATAACCCTGCGGGGTCCCGGTTCCTCCTCTTCGGGAGATGCTTCTCCCTCCGCGTCAGGGTTTGCTTGCTAAAAGCCGGCGCGAGGGATCGCATCCTCATGGCTACTGGCTGAGCGGGTCCAGGATAAAGTGTCTTTTAAAGCTTTTTCACCTAAAATGACGGCAAACACGGGAGGGACGGCGTCCCACTCTGAGGACCGTGGCTCTGGAGATGCCTAGGGTCGCATCCAGCTGGGCGGTGGATCACGGAGCACTGGGATCTGGTTCCAAGGCTGTCAGAGCCGGCGCCAGCAAAGGGCTGGGGGACCGTGGCCAGAGCATTCGGGTGAAAACCAGGGGTTCCTGGAGAGCCAGACCCCAATGCACCCACTGCCCGAGCCAGGCGGAGCAGGGCTGCTCGTCCCCTGACGGGGTGGCTGTCACCCCCCCAGCATTGCCTGGGCTTGTCCCCGGAGTGCTGAGCCCACCAGCTCCTCCTCAAACCCCCAGCGCTCTCAGGTGTTTCCAAAACAGCTCCAAAAGGCAGCGTGGGATTGGAAAGCGTTGCCGCCAGTGCCGACCACTTTGGGGGGGGCTTAATGGGGAAAAAGGGGATTTTAAGCTCTGGTGGCAATGCCACCGGTGGGGGCACCTCCGCAGGAGCTGGGCTGTCTTGTATTTTTAATCAGTATAATTCTATTGCTCTCGTGCCCGATGGGGACAGGGTTATAGGGGCCTTGCAGCGCTCCAAGTTTCCCCTGTGCCACCGGGCAGGAGGCGAAGTGAGTGCTCCGGGGGCGAGGAGGAGGTTTAAAAATTAATTGGCGTGTGCAGGGAATGAAAGGTCAGCGCGAGAGACAGCCCGAAATAGCGAAGGGTAATTTATTGCCACGGCAGACGACGCTAACACACTCAATTAACTCCCTGCCTCACTGCGCTCAAGAGGAGGCGGCCGGTGGGAACAGATGGAGGTTTCCAGGGAAGAGAGGATGGTCAGAGGGATGTCTCCGAGGGGAAAGGAGAGGACCGTGGTGGGGGATACGGCTCTGTCTGCTGGGAAGCATCACTGGGCTCTGCTCCGTGCCCGGGAGCAGCACCCCTGCGGCGATCTCCTGGGAGAGGAGCAGGGGCCGGCGGCTCCCTGATGTCCCGCTCCTGCATGGGACCAGGCGGGATGTGCAGCGCAACCCTCCTCCAGCCCTGAGCATCCCGGGAAACCTGCCCTGCGCGGGGAAAACCGTCCTGACGTCACGGCACCAGAGCACCAGCGTGGTGAAATAGCTGCAATTTATTAATCTCCCAGGTGTATCAGGACTCAGAGTAACCTGAGAAACTGCTGCTTCATCCGCCTGCATCTCTCTGATACCGTGGAGCTACACATCGTCAGAGGGGCTGCGTCATGCCGCTCGCTCTCAGCTCCTTCCTGGGCTGCGGTCAGCGACGGAGACCAACCCACACCCCAAAACTTTCCTTTTCCCAGTTCCCTTTGGTCCTAGGTCTTCTCGTTTTGCCTCATTCTGATGATAAACTCAGAAAGGGATGATTCACGGTACCGAAGAGGTTTGCTCGGGGAGAAGTGATGCCTTTCCTCCTCGGTGCATCTTTCTCCTCTCCAGTTGCACTCAGGAGGCTTTGCGGTGCTGCCATTCCCGGGTGTCACTGCAGCCTCGGTACCACTGCTGGGCTGGCAAAGTGGCTGGATGTGGGGCAGATTTTCACTCCTACAGCATGGAAAAAAAAAATCCTGTTACTTCTGGAAACCCAAAGCTTTCCTAACAACATGTATTTCTTACAGCTTCATATTTTGGCTGTGGGGCGGCCACCCCCAACTCCCTCTGCCCCGGCTCCCAGTCTCACTCTGGCAGACGCAGCTGCTGCTCCTCTCCTGTCCCCACGTCCCCGTGTCCCCTCCAAAGAGCCCTGCCGTCACCTTCCCCCTCTGACCCACGGAGCTGCTGGTCCATAACCCCCAGCCCCACGGAGCTGGGGCCGGGCTGAGCTCTGCTCAACCCTCAGCATCCTCCTCACCCGCCCTGCCCGAAAACCAGGGTGCATCCCTAATTAACACACCTAATTAGCAGCTCTGGAGGGTGAAGCTTTACATCGAGGACAGGGGGTTGCAGTCAGCCCTGCTCCCAGCTCACCTCCGGACCACTGTGCATTAGGCAGGCTGTAATCCTTGCTCAAGAGAGGAACTGGGGCTGACAGATCCCGTTCTCTCTCCTCTGGATTAACAAGGGGGTCGTGGGGGGGGGGGGGGGGGGGGGGATTGCAGAAGGGCCGCGGGGGGCAGACGCAGCCATCTCAGGGACGGGTCGGGGCAGAGCAGAGGTGAGCTGGCTGCTGGGTGTCAGGGCTGGAGAGCGTGCAGCCCCCTTGCTACCTGCCGGCGTAGCAGCCTCCTTGGTGTGCCTGGCCCCAAAGCGGGGAGGGGCATCCCCCGGGCACGGCGATGGGGCTGAGCCAGGATTGATCCCTCTCTGCACCTTGCAGGAGTGGGCGGACGTGTGTTGCAGGGGGCTCCGGAGCGTCCATGCCTACATCCTGGTCTATGACATCTGTTGCTTTGACAGCTTCGAGTACATCAAAACCATCCGCCAGCAGATCCTGGAAACGAGGTAGGGACCACTTCGCCGGTGGGTGCATCCCCCTGTGGCTTCCCAGCGGGGTGGTACAGCTCGCCCCAGCGCTCCCCTGCTCTTGACATCGGAGATGAGATATTAGAGACTGGGGCAAAGCCCCTTTGCAGGGCTGGGAGCCTAAAAGCAAAAGCAAAACTGGACCCAAGGGCAGGAGAAGGGATGGGACCCCAGGCAGGTATCCCCTGTGGGCGAGGGCAGCCATCCCTGGGAAAGCAACTGGGGCTGGCACGCCGGGTGACTGGCCACAAGGACACGGGGACAGGCCAAGAGGAGGCACGTCCCTCTTGGCAAGCCAAAGCCAAGTGCCGGTTGGGGATGGGTTGGGGTCCGCGGGCCGGTCCATCATCACGCTGTGCCCCGTCCCCTTCTGTCCTCCCTGACCACCCGCCCTCCCCAGGGTCATCGGCACTTCGGAGACGCCCATCATCATCGTGGGCAACAAGCGGGACCTGCAGCGGGGCCGGGTGATCCCGCGCTGGAACGTCTCCAACCTGGTGAAGAAGACGTGGAAGTGCGGCTACATCGAGTGCTCGGCCAAGTACAACTGGCACATCCTGCTGCTCTTCAGCGAGCTCCTGAAGAGCGTGGGCTGCGCCCGCTGCAAGCACGTCCACACCACCATCCGATTCCAGGGCGCCCTGCGCAGGAACCGAT